TGTATGTCTATTCTATGCTGTCGTTAGGCCTAGTTGGAAGATCACCCATCCACTTTCCTTTTTTGGGTCCATTCCGGTTTGTAAAATTGACACTCGGCTGAATTGGACTGTGAATCTAGATATGCTAATAGGCTAGTGGTTTAGAATAAAGCTAATGAAACACACGGAGGCACAACGCGGACGGGTAGAACAAAAAGATTTGAACAAAGAAATGATCTGACATTCTGTGTGCAATAACCACGTACTTGTGACGTAATGAACATTCACACAGTGATGTTGAAGTTTCCCCACTTTTTAGTAAAGTGTGTGGTCTTTTATTTTGAGAGCTGATTTCCGTCTTTACATAATTAACGCTTTCACTCTAAACCCTGCGCTCAAGTATCCAGAGCATCACAAATTCTGTACATGAGCTCAACGAGTCCTGCTCTCAATCTGACCGCTCTGGAACAAAGAGGATCGCACATTAAAATGAAGTTAAGATTATAATCTGTCTGCGTTGTTTCAAAAATGTTGCCTGTGTATAATTCATACAAGAGTTAGGGAGATCTCCTGGGATTGTTATTTTAAAGGTTTTAAATCGTACTGTAACTGATTATGTCTCTGTCCTTCTGCTCCTTGGCTGTAAACTTGCTGCTAATGTAGAGCAATGTCCATTTGTTCGTTCAGATTTTTAAAGGCCCAGATTCGAGTTTTTTGTCGGCCTGTAGAAGCGTTGAGAAGAAACGGATGTAAACACAAACGTCACGCACCATTGTTTGCCTGTGTGCATGCAGGTGTGTGTGTGTGTGTGTGGGTCTGGAAGTAGCACCTTGTAAGTGCCAAACATCGGTCAGATCTGTGTGTGGAAGAAAAACATAGTAGAGCTCCCCCAACATGTTGACTGGTGAATCCACTGTCAGTTTAATTTCTGGATTGTTTTGTTTTGTGTTGCTCCTCACAATGACTGAAACCTGGTCCAGTGTTTCATCCCGTGAGCAGGTCTTAGGTTTTTATACGCAGACGGACAGAGCACTGAGCGAGGGCTCGGGGTGACTGTGTCATACGTGTTTTTAAAAAGGCGAACATTCCTCAGTTTGTCAAGAGAAAGGTTTAGACGTTGTGTATGCAATAAAAAATGTATGATTTGATTGATTGTAAAGACGGAGTGAGTCTGACGTCCTCCTTCTGTATGACTACTTTACATTGTTCTTATATTTCATTGTGATGATCATATTACATTGTTCTAAACCTGAGCCTCGTTTTCATTCATGGGTGTTTGTCATTCCGTGTTGTTATCGTAGCAAACACTCTTCCCACAATGCACCTTGATAGCACCTATTTTTTCTTGTAAAACTTAGTTTCCAGCCTCCAACAGAGAAACAACAACATCGGGGTTATTTGAGTGATATCAGATTTTAAAAGTCTCCATCACCTTAAAACCTCTGGTGACACGTAGATGTGATAACAGCGTCGCCATAATACCACAACAATCCTTCTTCAGAACATAAACCGGATGCAGGGAACATAAAAGAAATTGTTAGATTTTTTTCCCGCTCATTCATATTTAATGTTGAGTGCACGGGAAACCATGAGGACCGTGAAGAATCAGGTTTCCATCAGTCGTCTGTGCTTTGACATTTTGCAGCTGATGGATCGTCCTCTGGAGCCCAGATGATATGATGCACGAGTCACTGATCTTTGGAGTCGTGTGTCGTGTTTTCTTAACACGTGTGTACACATGTTTTTTTTGTGTTTCATCAGCAACACATTCCACTTTGATAGAATTCAACCACAGGACAGTGTGTGTCTCCCTCTGCTGAATGTCAGGGCGTCCTTCATGCGATCATTGTTCTCTCTCAGTAAATACATTTACCAGCTGTAATCCTCAAACCTCACATACATTCAAACATGAATTCACTCACAGAAGGATTTTACATCATCACATGTACGTTTAAAAATCAGAAATATAGATTTTAGAATTTATCTTTTATCATCCAAAACCTTTTCATTGAACTGCCAACATGCCAAGTTTACTAGTTGGGAGTTTTATATTATATTATATTATTTAACTTAGCAAGACAAGAGACAAGACTGCGTGTGGTTTTCTATATAAACACTTTGAATAATGATTATATATATAGAGAGTGTTCCAGTAATGTAATATAAATAAAGTGCTAATAATCTATTTTATTAATAATCTAACCACTCTGATAATCCTCTGGTTACAACAGTAACACCGTCATTACAACACTAATCTTCCAAAATAATAATAATAATGAGAATCTGTATAATGTTGGGCCGATAAACAAATAAAGAAGTTCGACTTGTTATTTATAAGAGTGGATGATAATCATTACTGTTACCTTCACTACTATCACTGGTGATATTAATAACAAGTATAATTATATCAAAAAAGTATATTACAATTTATTATTATCATAATTGTTGTTGTTGTTACGTCGCAAGGTGGCGTCAGTGACGATGGAAAGCTCCCGGGTGACGTCACTGCGTAACCAGTCACGCCCATTGATAATTAGAGAGAGAGTGTAAAAGAAAGACAGACAGAGACAACCGACAGACAGTGTGAGAGACAGACAGACAGAGACAACCGACAGACAGTGTGAGAGACAGACAGACAGTGTGAGAGACAGACAGACAGACAGTGTGAGAGACAGACAGACAGTGTCCCGGTCTCTCTCTCTCTCTCCTCAGCGGTGGGACTAACTCCTCGGTGTCCTCGGATCAGATCCGGAGCCTCGGACTCACACACACGGTGAGAAACTCCCGCTTCGGTCCCTGAACGCAACAGCTGTCCGCTCCCTGCCTCGTATTATGGGATGTAAACTTCTTCTACTACATCTGTAGTCACGTTAGTTGCTTCTTCACTTCCTGTTGACGACTGGCACGAGCTGACAAACTACAGAAACTGTGTGTGTGTGTGTGTGCGTGTGTGTGTGTGTGTGTGTGTGTTTGTGTGTGTGTGTGTGTGTGTGTGTCAGAAGCTGTTATTCAGAAACAAAAACTTCTCTAACTCAGTTCATGAAGTTCAGGGAAATGATCTGTGGGCGATCAAGAGCTGCTTCTACCTGCTCATCATAGTGTGTGTGTGTGTGTGTGTGTGTGTGTGTGTGTGGGTGTGTGTGTGTGTGTGTGTGTGTGTGTGTCGCTCTCAAAGGTTGAGATTCCTCCTTCACACCCGTCTGAACTTGTTCCGCGTCTCTAACAGACGCTCTGAGTATAAAACAGTTTATTGTCGCCTGCAGGTTTGTTTTTTTTATATTTTTCTTTGTGTGTCAATATTCCAACAAACCTCAGACACAGTGATTGAAGCTAATCAGCCAACCTGCGTGCTGCGACTCTACTAAGGCCTCTGTCCTGTGCAGACCAGAATGCAAAGCAGCAAGACACCATGTACGGATTGCAACTCGAGTCAGTGTTGATTAGCAGAAACACCAGAATGTCACAGTGGAGAACAAACCTCCACCGAGACCCAGAGTCTTGAGTTCATCCATCGAGCCATCAATCGCCGGTGTTGTGTCGAAGTCTCATTCGGTCACGTGACCCGTCTTCATGGTCAAACGCGGTTGTAAAGAATCCACTGAGCAGTAAAGTGTGAAGACCGACTGTGGTTTTTACGACTTTTTACAGCTATGGATTTCGGAGCCTGTGGGGGAAGATGTTGTTGTTGTGCAATGTGATCTGTTGAAACAGTCCCCTGTGAGCTGGCTGAGTGGGGGGGAGGGGGGGGGAGTAGAGTAGAGATAAGGGAAGGAGGATACATGCTTTTGTTTGAAAATGGCGTGAGCAGTTTGAATCCCTGTTCGTTCTAACACTAACACGTGTAAACGTCTCGTGTACGTCTCCTCTTTTTCATCCTGACATATGTGTGCATGTTAGAAACGTCATCAACACGCCCACTTTCCTGTTCTAGTCTAACACCCGGGGGGGGGGGCGCTGCAGGAAGCTGCCTGTTTTGCATTGTCACATGAAGCCCCTCTGGAAAAACTCAGAAACATGTTGTGACTTCATCTGAAAGATCAAATAACAGAAGAGGAGAGAGAGATGGTGTTAACTGAGGCTCCACTCGTCTCCTCCAACTCCTCCGTCTTATCCTCCTCTCTGCAGCTGCTGATTGTTTTCTCTGGAATCGTTCGGTCTGATAAATGTTAGAACACGATGAAGAACGCACGTTGAACTTCCTCAAAGTCTCAGGCCTCATCTCCACATTGTAGTTCTACATGTTAACGATGGCAAATCAAATAAACAAAATAAATAAATAAAAAACCTAAACCATAATCTCAATAGTTCAAAAAAATAATGCTGAGTCAATCCATTAAATAATTATTAGCCGGATGTTTTCTGCCCTGAAAGCAACTATTAACAAAAACAGATTAACGGAGACATTGAAACCAGTCCATCGTTAAAGAGGCCAAATATAATCTGAATGTCAGTGAGAGACACAGAAGATGAAATCAGAGTGAAGATCGTATTTAAACTGCATGTGAGTGTATTCACAGTTAAATACGACTGGAATCTTCTGGAGTCGTTATCACCACAGTCGAGGTTATAACGTGTGTGTGTGTTTAAAGGAAACCCCCACAGAGCGTCTCTCTGCTGAACCGGTATTGTAAGGTGACATCATGATGTTTGCATGGATCAGGAAACCGTTCCATTGATATGAGAATAAGCTTTGTGCCTTGTGGACGTCTTCTCCTGCGACTGTCCCTCCGTGTTTAAACGTAAAAACACAAACTTTACGTCAATCTCAATAAAACTCTTTATCTAAAAGGTCATACATCAGCGTTCAGTCCAGGAAGTGAAACCCTGAGGGTGGCCGCTCGGTGCAGCTCGACCTGGATTCTTCACTTTCAGCCTTGAGGTTTTGCACCTTTACAGGCGTCATATTTCCCTGAGAGAAACAGGTTCTTCATATCAACATGCGGGGAAGCTGCGTTGAGCCGGATGATGTTGCTGCACAAGTCAGGGGAGGACACACACGATATCAGGTTGCATTGTTTGTGAAGCGGTTGTGTGGGTATGTTTGTTGTCGTCCTGCTTGTCTGTACAGTTTAGAACAAACGGCGTCACAATGGAGCTGAACACTGAGCGCCCACTTTCAGAACGGCTCTGGTTCGTTCTCCGCTCATCATCTTTCAGAAGAGCCTTTATTAAAAAAGAGAGTTTTAATCCTGGAACCAGGCCGAGCGGCGACGAGAGGAATCGTGACCACGAAACATTCGATTCAGAGCAAGACAATTATTGGAAAACAGGAAAAGAAAGTGTTTAGAAACAGAAATCTGTGGTTCCCATGGAACCCACGTGACTCTGGTGGTGAGCAGCTGTTATGAACACCAGCTTTAAGACAAAGACCAGAGAGAACAACAAGTGCAACATTAATTATTTAGCTTCGCTTCAAGTCGGCTGAAAGGATTTAATTTCCATCAACTTGAACATCGACAACAGAAGGAAGTTTGATCAAAGGGCGTCCTGTGACTCCTTCACCTTCTTCACCAGTTGGAATAAATCATCATTTGTAATGAATCTTCCTCCTTTGATTTTAATTCAATGAATCATTCTCATCCTCAGACTTTGAACAGACAATCAAAGCTCCCGAATATGTGGGGTTTGTCCATTAGCAGTATTTTGACGGCAGCATTAAAAGGGAAACTCGCCCCCCCCCCCCCAACCTGGTTCAGAGGATTAAAACTAATAACGAAGCCGAAACGTCCTCGCAGACAGAAATCATTTTACTTTGAAAATACAGTTTTCCAATGAACTGAAGTCGCATGGATGAAGTTTTAGTCCGACACGAAAACAAATTGTTGATTTTAACAAAGCTGAAAACAACAATGTGAGGACGACGGTGCCGCTGCTGGTGTGAACATGACAAGTGCATGACTGAAATATGTGAAGCTGCAGAGGGTGAGTCATCAGATTGCAGGATCAGGACCATATCTTGCTGTCACACACACACACACACACAAACATGGCCCCCCCACGCTGACTCCTGAGCACAGAGCTCATAATGGGCCGTCTGTGTTTAAGGTTAATGCGTTCTGCCTCCAGCGGCTGCATAATGTGTCTAAAGCAGCTCCTCTCGTCCTTTGTGTCGCTGCATACAGGTCCTTGATAACCTGACACCACACACACACACACACACACACACACACACACACACACACACACACACAGACACACACACACAGACACACACGTCACTGATCAGTATTATTTAAAATCCTCGTGTTAAAATATAATATTTGTACATTGTTTACACTTGAATCAAGACTAAATATTATTCTTTTTAATAAAGATGCTGAAGTCAGGACATCTCTCTCTCTCTCTCTCTGTGTGTGTGTGTGTGTGTGTGTGTGTGTGAAACCCACTGAGCTGGTATTTGCTTTATCAGCAGGGTCTTTGAGTTGCACAGTTTCCAGAGAGCATGGAAAATTCCATAGGACACGAGTGTGTGTGTGTGTGTGTGTGTGTGTGTGTGTGTGTGTGTGTGTGTGTGTGTGTGTGTGTGTGTGTGTGTGTGTGTGTGTGTGTGTG